TGCTTCATTCCTTACCTGTGATCGTATAAGGATAATAATTCCAAGCCTTCTCTGTAACATAAAATATTTTGGGAACAACTGCTCTAGCCCAGCTAGGCAGTTTGCTGAAAATAAAAAGAAAATACAAAATTAGAATATGTTTTGATTTAGGAGGATTGTAGGAAAGAAGATGCTTCCAAAGGTGCTCATTGTATGGGAGGTATTTCACAGGATACAGCGATTCCAAGACTTCACAACGGTATTTGCATCTCATGACTATGCATTATGTCACCGCTTTCTCCACACGCATGCATGAAACCAAGTCTGTCCGTCCCCCTCCCACAGCGAGCAGCGTGGTGCCGCTGCAATATCCTCCCATTGGATTTAAATTGAGGTTGCAGATTTCAAGAATTTATGGCCTCTGACATTTGGGCACGGATGAACTCAGCAGGTCAGACCGTACAAGGTGACCTGTGTCACCGTATTCTTAGCCACAGGGAGGCACTCTCTAACAAGACGTCCTAAGGAAATTCGTGATTTCAGCCCAATTTGATCCCAATTCCATGATTTCTTCTTGGAGACTATTCCTTCTTCCTCCACCTTCTCTGCTGGCACACAAACCCTTACATTCAACTTGCCTAGTGGGACTACCAACCCCAGCTCTTGAGTAGGAAGCCTTTAATACAAAGTTAACAAATCACTCAACACCCCCCCGTGAGGCTGGTATTAGTTCCATAACGCGGATGGGAAAAGTAAATCACAGACGGGAATGAATGGAACTGATGTCATAGCTCAGAGCTCAATCTGTCCAGAGAATTTACCAGTCCCATGGTACAAGAGCAGCCGAATCAGAAATGAAAGACACGGATACAGCACATGGAAAGATCATTCCAGGGTCATTAGATAATACTATGGAAGAGTGGGAGCATTTTCTTTACCATGGATCTCGGGTCTCTCATTTCCAGGACTCTGGTCACTCCGGGTACCCAAGAAGTGATGAGCAAACATACATTTAAAAAATAAGGCAAGTTCATGAGAACTCATCTTTCAAGCCTTTCTTTAGGACATCAGTTCTAACCCCTGAAGGTGCCAGTAACAAAGCTGCTGCACAGTCACTCGAAGGAAGGCAGACCTCTGGAGTACCACTGCACTGCAGAGACCCAGCGGAAGCTGGGCTAGTGAAGAGAATCTTCACCGCACTGACGCAGATGCTTTCAGACTTCCGTTGTCCAAGTGTAAATGTTTGAAGTGGTTATGTTTAGAGAACTGTTTGCAGAATGTAAATTAACCTTCCACATAGCAAATTTCTGAGGAAAATACAGAGTTTGGATCATTAAGGCTTACTTAACCATGATCCAGCTACACATAAATATTGTATTTGTCCAGAGGCAAAATGCAGACACTATCTAAATAGTACACTGTCTAAAGACTCAAAGTCAAGTGCATTGACTTTTGCTCTTTGATGACATTGCTCAAAGCCAGATTCTTTTCTTTACATAAACCTTTCTCGTGTGCTGTCTTTTAAGCAGCATTTTACGTACTGCATAAGACTTGACTGTCTCATCTCTTTTGCTTATTTTGTCAGCCTCTGTCAGGGTCTTTTTATGACTATCTCTGCTCCCTCCCTTACTGCTCCCCGCTAAACTCTACTCCAACGCCTAAATAATAAATGCCAGATGTGCAGAACTGCAGCTTCTGAAAACAATGCTCCAGCAAGAGAGAAGAGGCAGTAAACAACTCTGAATGTAACTAAGGCTTACACTGACACTAGAAAATTTTACTAGTAATGTCTTTGTTAACATACAACTGCTCATTTTGCACTTTTTTTGGTTGCTGTTGGTTTTAACATCTTTGCCCATCTTCCTGTCTTTGCCAGTAGCGCACATCTCCAAAACAATCTTTTGAGCAAAACACACACTACAGTCAGAGTTTCCAGCAAGTCACAGTCATAGACACACATGAATAGTTCCAAAGGCCCATTCAGAGAAAGAAAATACAGTATCTCTATTTTAGCAGCACAGGTATCTGTGCATCACATTCTCTTTTTTACATTTTTTTTTTCTTCCTTCCCCAGGTGAAGTTCAGTCTTTCAGCACACAGGGAGGAAGTCTTTCTCAAAGGCATTCCAGCTGGTAAGCTGGAATGGTAAGCAAGAAGATCCTCTGCAAGATTTAAAGTATTATCAGGCCAGAAAAATGAAAACCATGCAAAAGACTTTCCATGAAACCATCACCAAATATATAAGCTCAAATTTCTTGGAGAGATCACGCCAGAGGAAAAGAATGTGAAGCAAATCTGGCAAGTTTACTGGGGCGGTGGACCCTGGAAGACAAAAAAATGAGGGAGAGACCTGTGCCTGTTCCTCAAGAAATGCAGGCAGAGGAGAAGTTTTCCGCACATCTCGTAGGGCCACATGTCTCTTTCAGTGGTCTTCCAGAGCAATCCTGGCCTCCCAGCAAAATCTACAGTTGTCTGAAAAACAGATAATCCTTTCCACAAAGCTCTAGTCATACTGCAATATCTGGGGGTATCGTGACACCAAAACCAGACTCAAATAGCAAATCTGGTGGTGATATCAAGGAGTATTCATGACAGTCATTGAACTCGGCGAGCCTGAATTCAAACATCCACCATAGCTTTACAAAAACCTCCCCAGTTGTCGTAGGCACACAGATATTCTTTGTCAATGTTCGTACCTGTCTTTGGGTAAGAGATCCTTCGTTCCATTGCCTGCCTACCAGAAACTCCACGCTTCCCACCTATGTCTCGTACACGCTTCCTAGGACACAGCCCTGGCGGTTATTATGAATTACCCTAAAGTGGTACTTCTGACTCTGCTCTCCAGTGCTTAAAGCCTTATCTCTTTTTAACATGAAGGAAAGAAATATCCAGAAACATTAAAAAAACCCCACAACTTCTGGGAGCTCTGCAACAGGAACCCATTTATTGATTTTTCCCAAGTCCTGTATCTAGCCTGTGAGGGAACAGTTACCATCACAATAATATTAAATGATGCTAAGATGTATATTATTAGACTCTCGTGTGTGTGCGTGCGTGCAACATTACTGGTGATTCAATTTAGCCTGAGTTAAGGTTAGCTACGTCAGGATTGCAGTGGAGGAGTAACTTGCAATGCAGAAGCAATAGTTGTAGTGTTTCTATGCCCACTATGAAATGCTGCAGAGCATAAGTTTAATAAAATGAAACAGGCCCAAGGGAATAGAAGAACTTCAGGAAAGCAGAGATATTCTATTAGTTCAGAAATAGTAAAAATAGAAACAGATTGAGCAATCTATTTCATAGGACACAAATATATATATAAAAATACATCTCGGGCCTTTGTGTGTGGAGGCACTGATCCTCAGCAATATAATTGCACCATAGGAAGAGACACATATTTCACTTTAAGAAGTGATGGAACTTTGGGGAAACAAGCAACTTTTTCCATCATGTCTTTAAGCCTTTTATTTTGGGACAGAAGGTCATCATTGCACAAGCCTAATGGTCATTCAGAACGTCAATTAACTCGGCTGAGGCAAGCCTCTTGCCACCAAAAATGGGTTACTGGCTTTGTGACATTATTATGAAGTGAGAACCCTTGGACCATTTTAGTGGTTTGAGTTTGGGTCTTTTTGGAGGGTGGGGTTTTGTTGATCTGTTCTTTAGTTTTTTGGTTCCCTCCCCAAATTTTGGAAAACAGAATGGCAAACAGGTGTAAAAGAAAACAAAAGTCCTGATTTTTGGTACAGCCTTAACTTCAAGTTATAATTCATTCTCTTAGAAAAGATATTCTAGAGGAAGTGATGACTAAGCCCCCTATTTCCAGCCACTGATCAAGCCACCTTCCTTCTTGCTGTGGCTACCAGGAAGTGGCATGTATTCACACGAACATGTTCTGCTTGAATCAGAAAGGCTATTACCTGGAAGGGATATTCCCTGCAAATGGTTATGACAGCCCATGCTGATAGAAACAGGTTTATTCCACTTGCCTGTTGAGATAGACCCGTTTTTCTGTTAGCTGGCCATTGCCATGGTTTGGATCTTCGTAGGGTTCATTCTGCACCACTTCCACACCTTCCCCTCGGTCACTCTGCTCATGGCTATGCTTGCTTATCATGTACAGCTGTCCAATTCGGTACTGCAGAGCAAAACAAGAACAAGGTGTCAGCTTTACGTAACACACGTGTATCCAACAGCCAATGTCATACAATGATACAGCGGGAAGTGCAAACAGAAGGTAGTTCAAGGGCAAAAAACATTATTTGCAGCTGCATTTATACCCGTGAGTTGGGGTTCTCCCATTATCTTATTAAGTCCAAGGTGTCACTTGTGGAAAAAATAACAAACACTGTGTGTATACAGATGTAAAGGATCAGGCGAGCCTGCTATTTTTAGACTGTATTTGTAAGTATGTAAGCATAAATAAACAAGTGATCTACTGCTTCATGCAAAAGGATTTTAACCAGCAGGTGAACTCTAAAAATTCTATGGGAGACAGGCTTCTCCTGTCACGCCAACATGATGCCAAATAAAGAAGCTCTGCAAAAAGATTCAAGAGAACTATTGCTGATTCACGGAAGTAAGAGTGCCAGCTCTTAAGAAAAAAACCATGTAGACTCTAGAGTCCTTCAAAAAAGAAGTTTGAGATGAGTGATTTGGCAATATTATTAAAATGAATTAAAGCACTTAAACAATCCTTTTTCCATAGGCTCTCCAGTTACTTTGGAAGCCAAAACCCGGGAGGGTTGACACAACATTGCTATCACAGCAAAATAAGTTGTTGTACCAGCAATTGATTTTTTCTCAGTATGTCTGTACCTGCACCAGGGCTTTTGCCTCCAGAGAAAAACACCAAAAAGTACATTCTTGAACCTTCATTAGCAAAGATTTTAAAGTGAAATTGCACTTTCCCACACATTTTTCTGGTCAGAGATTTTTTCCTCACTTAAGTCCTTTGCACATTCTTGGACATACCCTGGTTCTCACAACAAACTTTCTTTGGACCTATCCAGCTTTCTCCATTTGGATCTCTCTCTCCCCCGAAGTAATTTATTTAGGCATATACATGCTAATCACTTCAATCACATCAATCACTTCAAATACAAAGACCCACCTGTTAATTTAGAGAATGGCTGAGCTACTACACAAGCTGCCAAGTACTAGCTCAGCATAAGCAAACAAAAACATAGTGACAGTCTGACCTCAGAAAACTCTACAAGATTCTTGTGGTTATTTCAAATGATAAACAGCAATCCTATCATAGACTTTAAAAAGCTCATGAAGCACAAATCAAAAGAGCAATTAGCTGAGAAAAAAATCCTAAACCATCACAGACCTTATTAACAACTGCCAACAGGAATCTAACTAAACCCAACAATAAGGAATCGGATCATGGAGGGATCCCCACAGAAGTTCTTTAAATGCCGCATAACCCCACGTCATTCCCCTTGCAGGCAGCCCCCAAGAAGGTAAGAAACTCAGAACTCGCATCTTGCTGGATCATTCACTTAGGGAACAGGGATTTCGCTTCTCCTAGTGTGGAACAGACACCTCCTGCTTCCTTGCCAGCCGCACACTACAACAGTGAGGCAAATGATTTGCACCAAAAAAATGCCTTTCAGCTGGTAACTCCAAAGTGCTAAAAATGCCTCAAGTTTACAAAAAGGTTCTTTAAGGGGAAAAGGGTGCTCTGGGGGCGTGTGGAATGAGGAACCTTGGATCTATTTTCTTTTCTTCTAATCTAATTAGGTAATTTCAGTGGATATTTTCCTATTACCTTCCTTCAAACACGTCCTCACAGTGAAGAGCATAACCCAATGTTAAAAATTGTAGGAACTAGTTAGACTTTGAGAGAAAAAAGAAATATGTACGGTTGTCATAAAACTGCCGAGTGTCACACAGGTCAGGTCAATTCATTGTGAAAGTGTGACCCTTGTAACATTTAAATAAAACATGGGTAAATATCTGGATAAGTGCTGGCTACACAACTTAGAAGTGCCTAGAAATGTCAGTGTTATGTGTATAATGTTTCTTCTCCTTTCTCCTCTTAATTGGTGAGAACTGATGGCCTTTTTTTTTTTTCCAATTAGAATGATCATTCTTTCTCTTTATAGCCCATATAACTTTGGACAATCTATCCTCTCACTCCACAGAAAAGTTCCTAAGACGTCCACTAAAACGATAAGTAGAATAATGCTCTTTAAACAGTTTGATGCTGGCACTATGTCCTGCCTATACAGTCAGCTGTCTCATCTCTGGTACCTCTTACACACAAAATGTCCCCACTTAGGAGATAAGCCCTAAATTTTCTTTTTTTTTTTGCTAATCCAGTCATCAATCTTAGTCTTTACTGAATCCTTTTCTTCTCTGTCTCATCATCTTTAGTCATCTTCTCATCATCTTCTGTCTCATCATCTGTCTCATCATCATTTTGTCCTAATCTTCAAGGCTGCAGTCCTCACACATACTTTTTAACTAGTTCCATGAAAACTTGTCTTCTCTTCTTCACTAACAACAAGTGAACGCACTGGTACATGGGCAAGGCGAAGTTTGTGGACAGAGGTGGTATACTTTATTTGATCAACCAGTACACTTGGAAAAATGAGAACTTTCAGGCACATGAAGCTGTTTTAAGGTGTGAAATCAAAGCTACATACTTCGAAGCTGCATGCAAGTTGAGGAAAGATGCTTTGCCTTTAATTAGATATGTACCAATTAGACCACCTGAGAGTAAAGATGCTTACTGCCTGTGGAGTGATAAGGATGTTAGAAAAGAGGAGAGGTGATAAGGTGCTTATCTCCTAATGGAAAGAAAGACATCAGTAATTTATAGCCTGTGGAACATTAAAGGTTAGGTGAGGAAAGGGGAGGGAAACTACAAATCGCCACAAAGCCGATCCTTCTATTGAGATCTTTGTTACCCCATAAAGTTATGATTTTAGTTGCCATGGACATCTCTGGAAAGCGTTTCACGATTGCACGTATCACTGCATGCTATGACTTCCTATTCCACACAGTCCTTTGCAATTTTGCTCTCAGTCTTAATGGTTAAATAGAGACCTCTCTGGTTTTGCTGGAAATACTGGCTCAGAAACATCAAAACCAATGTACATTCACACTGACAACTAACAATGGGGCTGGGCTAAAGGATTCATTTACTCCAGCATCATGTATCAGAGATATCCACCTATAACACCACCATGTTTTGCTAAGAGAGATTGTTCTTTCATGGACATGTACCACTGTAAAATGCTAGCAAAATATGAAATCACAAAGCCTGTAAATCAACCTGAGTACACGGTTAAGCGTGGCTAAGCTGCGTACCCACTGCACGCTTCAGATGATGATCAGTGCTGTCAAGCAGAAATTGCTTTACAGGTGTTGCACAGTCAGTGCTTAAAGAAAGGTTCTACTTCGCCGATGAGACTCAAAATCACACTCACTCCAGTAATACCTAAGATCTCACAGAAGGTATTCAAGTCAGCTCAGCGCAGCACTTCTCACACAGAAGATGCTGAGGAAAACAAAGCGAGACTGGTGCTGGACAGCTCTTCTGTAGGAATCTCCTGCTCCTCGCCTCTCCCCAGGCGACAACCTCCCACACCTACGGATCTGACACCAGTCAAGTGGAAATATCCACCTTCCATAACTACTGAAATGACTGTGCAGTCCTGCTAGAAAACAGCTGTATTCTGCAAAATAAACGTACTTTTGCAAGTCCTTTAACGTAGTTGGGTCAGTTGGGTGCTATTCATCTGGTTTTATCTGTTTTTTAAATTTTTAGTATCATTCTAGAGAAGGATGAAAAAGAGTTAACCACCAAAATTATAGTACTTTACTAAACCAGAGGGTACACAGCTATTACTTCAGATAAAATAACTTTTTTAAAGGTGTATGTTTATATTTACATGAATAAAATCCAAAGCAAAGACGTGTCTTTTAGAACTTACTGAAACTGTAATGCCTGCTAAAAAAGTCACAGCTTTTTCTAAGTTCCTACTGATACTGTGGAGAAATAAAACAACACTCATTATTCCTGCAAGGGTAAACTGATGTGCCACTATTATTTATGTTGCTCCATCACAATGTGTATTTCCGTGTTCTTAGCTCTAAGGAAATTTTCCAAGGCCATATACTGTTTCAAGGAAGTCAGTAAAACTTCACACAGAGGCACCTGATCTGATTTGGCTCTGGAGAAAAGCTCTTTGAAAACTCTTCAGTTTAACAGGGGAAAATGTCTTCAATATCAAAGGAAGAACTTCAGCAAACAAATGCACTAAATGTGGAGTTGGAGATTTCTAAGGATATTTCTACATATCTTTGGTAGTAGGCTTGATGTTTCTCAACTCCTAATGAGTCCAGCTTTGTCCCAGTGGTGACTTCTCTTTTCCTTCAACAGGCTGATGGTGTTTGCACACTGGGAGTTTAGTCATACAAGCACCAAGGTTTATGTTAGCAACAGCATAGTCATGGTCAATCTGATTTTGTTTAAAATTTTAAGTGAGACCAGAATCACTTTTCTGGTGTTCTTGGGGAGTAGGGGGTGGGGGGTGGGGTGG